TGTATCGAACCACCTACCTTCCGCTTTCCGGACAGACGCTCTATCAACTAGTCGTTTTCATCAACTGAGAATACCTAATCAGTTTAATGCCTGCGTAAATATGTTTTCTCGTTGTGTATTTTGGTTCAACTGTAGCATGTAAGCGTGCGAAGTGTTGTACTTAATACATGCAAACTGTTAAGGGTTATTATGCCATATATACGTCTTTCGTAGTTAAGCTCAGAACTTTTCAGTCACCCATCTGAGGGAAACTGATTAGAAGATATACATACCGTGCTTTCAACCAGCTAAATTGATACTTGTTGTATTTTCCTGTTGCAGGTATTTTCCTACACCTGTTACGCACACTATCCTATACCTGTCTGCACGCTCTGCACTAAAGATATACCTGCTACCTGCAAGACTGTTTGTGGTCGACGATAGGATAAAGTCGGCGTCTGTATACGTAAATGCACGTATTTGAATGTGAGCACTGAATCACTCAAATATCGCCCCTTATTTTTCTAGTTACAGAATGAAGAGGTGCTGGGATTTTGTCTGAAGAATAGATATTTACTCATCAACACATAGTATCAATTAAATATTTTACCCTAAAACCACCTTGCAACAATATAATTTTTGTGGCAGACAATTTCATTTAAAGCATTATAATTTTTTACGTTTTTCTATTTTTATAAAATCCCAGCCCATACTTTGTCCTTGTATACATAACTGAGCTAGGGACTAGGAACCTGTGTGTTCACAGCGTAGCTATTTTATTAAATTGATTCCATTTAATCGTTCTTGCTATTCTAACAAACACAGTTGGACATTTGGGTGAAATCACCAATGTTTGAATATCAAGAATGAACCGGGTACAATCAACTGTCTAAACCAAGCTGGGCGTGCCTGACGGTGACGTGGAAGCAAATTTGGGTGCTTCCTCAACCAGTTGCTTGTCTGAGCTGGTAATTAGGAAGTTTGTTATCGGTTTCGTAGATGCACAAACCGAATATGGTTGTCATGTTGACGTGAAATCACACATGGACGACCGACCCCTTGAAAGTCATGAGTGTTGCCCTGCTGTACAAAACGTCTCCAAAAAGATGATATTGTGTCGCGATGAACATTAAAATGTATGGAAACCTGGTTTTGAGCCATTCCTGTTTGCAGCATATCCACGACGCACGGACGTTGATTTCCAGCAAGCCCTGGCTTTGCGTTACAGATATTTACGGTTTTGTTTTGTGTTTTGTTATGAGAACCTGATAGGTAAACAATCGTTGTGTGTTGTTCACATTACAAAACCACGTGTGGAAGTATCTTGCTCCCAAAAAATACGCAAACATCAAAATTGTTCTCCGTGCATTTACATGCCCATGCAAATTGAATCGCGAACTTCAAGTCGAGGGTCGTGTCTTCGTGAATATATACTGAAAGATGCATTACTTAGTGTCAGAATAAATGTATTTAAATGAAATTTAAATGAAGCACAGTTAATTTTTACGTTGGTACCGATACGCTGATATACCTAAAAATCGTTTTACGATATTTTCCCCAAAAATAGTGTCATTCGTTTTTATTCAGCAATATTCCTGTTAAATATAGACGACCTGTAATTAATCAGGTCTTGAGAAAACCAGCTAGCGGTTGACATTACGAGGAACGTCCCGGGCCGTCGTGGTACGATGACTCACAATTGAACAAACAAGTCACAGAACTCGATCACCAAACTAGTCGCCGATACTCGTCACCTCCTTTAACCCAGATCTCATTGGAGTTTTCACGAAATTGACAAAGCAATAAACAAAAAATAAAATATATAACACGATAAGACATATAAAATTATCTTTTATATATTACTTTTAATGAATTTCCCAAAGTAAATCACGTCAGAGTAGAAAAAATAATGATAAAATATTTTTGAAAGGACATAAAATAACACGTAAAAGCATATCAAACTGGCAATGAGGATTTTGTGAGCAAAGGTCATTGAATAACCACATACTTTCACCTGAGGAAGAGGAGAGAACCACGTGTACTCCTTCAAAAAGAAACACATAGGTGATTTCGATAAACATACGAACCGCATTTACACATAACGACATCTGAAAATGGACATATTATTTTGTACCAAACTAATAATGCCCCAATAGGGAATCATCAAAACGCAGCCACGCCAACATGTATAAATAAAAGCGACAAAACCCTTTTCATATTCAGAAGAAATCTCAATTGTACGATTCCTATTACATCATGATCATGTTTTCATATACCCTTTTAAATACTGATGACATCAGGTGTGAGCATAACCTGCCCCATAGGTGGCACCCGTAACCAACACATGCAAAATAAAGTCAATTATTCACATGGAACGAGGCTTTGTATGTTATAACCTTCATCAAACACCTTTCAGCAAGATTCGTATAACGCTCTGTGAAATCTTAGTAGACTATTGGAAAGTTAATGTCATCCCTCTTGTCATACAGTTTTGTGTCACTCTGAATCTTTATGCATAGATCAAAATGTGAAACGGAAGAGGCGCTCTCAGTGGTCTTTATTTCTGGTTCAGGTGAGAATATCAGCATAGAGTTATTTGATACTGGACGATATCGTAATACTATCATCGATATACCTGAAGCTTAAGTTAAATTTCTGTGCACAATTACCTTGTTTATACTTTGCCAATCCGAGCAGAAATTCCGATTCATATGCATAAAGAACCATTTCGAGAAGGGGGGGATGCCCACTTCTTGCCTAAATGTCTAATCCCCAAGTTATACATGGATGTTATCAATGAGGAAGTTCAACAATTCACATATTGTTTTCTCAGTAACAAATAAAGAAACAAAACACAATTATAAAATAATTCCTTTTTAAAGACATATTTCACCCTGTTGCTCCGACCCGCTAGTCAAATCACGTCATGCTTCTGTTGATATGGCTGAAATATTGCCGATGTGACTTTAAATATTAACTCACTCACTCACTCACTCACTCATGCTTCTGTTGCTTTAGATGCTTTTATTTTATGTTCTGTGACTTCGGTCGTTGGTCGTGGTTTGGCAGCCATACTTGGTTCAAGATCTTACAGGGGCACTGATCTAACGGACTGGTTGTTGCCTTTGTTATTGTTTTTCCCCGTGAGTACCCGGATGATACGCAACGCAACTAAGCGTGACCAGAGACTGGGGTACCGTCTGCAAGGACAGCTAAATAAACTTGGAGGCTGGAGGCAATATTTGTTTTTCGCATTTTTGAACACTGATTGGTTAGCTGTGATCTATAAAGATTTCGACAAAGGGCGCATGTTAATTAATTTCTTCAGCCTAAACAAACAGACAAAAAGAACAAGGGAGCTTATCGGATGTCGTCATTTGGAAATACCCCAGATGGTTATAGTTTAATACTAAAAACAGTATCCATGCAGTGAAAGCATTTTCGGATTTTGGCTTGCGTCGATAATACGATTACTACTCCCTTGTTGTCATCCACGTTTTCTCGTATAACCCTACACTTGTGTATTTGTCGTCATTCATTTGATGCTCAGTTAATGAATTTATTACAGGTACAATTAGTGGTAGCACCACTTATATTACCTGACAAAGGTTCCCATTTGGCATTTATTGTGTCTGGGGTAATTATTCAATCTAAATCCAGGTTTGAAGTGAGGTGAAATGTGTGTTATGTAATATGCACGTGGCAGCCCAGCAAGAGATGAATGATCAGTTGATTTACTTTTTTTTGTAAATCAACGGATCGTTCCTAGTCATCAAAGGATTAACAGAAAATACGTTGATTGATTAATCACTGTTATCTTGCACAGTGGATATGTCAAGAGTGAGTGTTTACATGTCTAGGTTTACTAAAACAAAGGGAATACACTCATATCATGGCGCGAAGTGCCGATGTAAAAACAACATACTTTGTTCAAAGGGTTAACTGATAATACGTTGATTGATTGATCATTGTTATCTATCACTCAATGGAATTTTTAGGAACCGTGGACGCTATGAAAATAGTTGTCACGTGGGCTTTCGCAGCCGACCATTGAGACTTGACACCTATGTAAAACACCTGAAACAATCCAAGCGATCAGTTGAGAACACGGGTTATAATATCCCGAAACGATATATATCTTTTAAAATATTTGATTGTTACTGAGACACGTGACATCGAATAAGTTTCTTTGTACAGCTGCAGACGAGTGGGATATTGTTCCTTTGTGTGGATATTCACGGATACATTCCTCGAACAAGGAAGCTGCCTAAAACTTATACACATAAATTTGGTAGGTTGTAATTATGATATCTGCATTTTGTTTTCCTTCATTTGAACCGATTCGTTCTTGTTTCTCTACGTCTTGGTTGGGAAATTCTTCAATGCGCGATAGACGTTGTTGTCACAGGTCTTTTCCTTTGTAAGCGTGTATATATTACCGTCAATTTGTAAAATGTGATTCTCTCAGGCAATTTATAAAATGTGTAAATATTTCAGTCATTTTGACTAAAAAATCTGTCCAGATTGATCAAGACGATCAAAAAGGCCTACAAACATCACAACAGATTATTATGTAGGATTAAAAGCCAAACAACTTAGAAATGTACTTTTCAACGTTACATTTTCAGTCTCTTGGTGATGACATAAACATCAAAATGTTTGGAATTCGTTGTCATAATAATACAGATGGAAATGTTTTACAGTCACTTTGTAAAATAACTGAATATTTAGACGTTTAATAAATTTTTTACACATTTGACAGTAAAAAAATATACACACTATAAAAAAAGCATATGCTCAGGTGAAATATATACTTTGTGTTGCAAGTCAAAATAGTGTAAACGAAAATCGCAAAATTACCAAGCAAGTGACTTATCAAAACTTCGTCACCATTACCGATGCTGCTCACAAAGATACCTACATTTCCTTATTATCTCGAAAACTGTATTTCATTTTGTTGATCAATGTGACCATACGCCCTTATTACTACCCATAAAAGTGACTAATGCGCTTACGAATGGCGCAGCAGAGGTCGCGAACTAGTCTAGATTTCTGCTATACATCCGGGTATTCACTGGGAAAAAACAATAACAAAGGCAACAACCAGTCCCGGGGAATTGCGTTAGATCAGTGCCCCTTTAAGAGTGAATGTTACTTATTTTTGGGAACAGATCTGCAGAACCCTACTGGAGAAGTTACTAAATGAAATGCTTTCAAATTGTGGAAGAATTGTCTCCATACTTAATATGTAAAACTAAGTATGTTCACTGCTTTCTGATATCTTGTTTGGTTTGCGGCCATATGGGATCATATTTCTTGTTAATTAGGTTCTTCAAAGGGAAGAGTGGAAGTTTGCGTTAAGTGTTGATGCCATATGTATCCCATTCTTTTGTTCCTGATATCATGTCAAAAGTAATGTAGCCATGTTGGATTAAAGATTTCCAGAGTGCATTCTAAACATTGTGTCCATACATAATACACCAAACCGAGTTTGCCATGTCAACATCAACAGCGTATGATGCATGTTAAAATTAACGCCGCTGCGCGTTTGTTTCCAAATTCAATTTAGCGCAGGTAACCTAGCTCTACATTGAAAACACAGTGTATGTTTTTTCTCGTAAATGAAGATTGCTTTGGTTCTTTCCTGAAACGAACACCATTCAAAACTTAATTCAAGACTGCATGTCACCCCATAGCTATGCCCAGTAAAACATTAATACATATTATTGAAATTCCAAAATAGCTGAAGGCATCAGTTTACTACTTGATTAATCTAAATGCAACGTTGTATGAAGGAACGTTAAAAGTTCTGCTCCCGACAAGAAACGGACGAACGGAATTACAAAGGTGCAAACAGCTATACGCCTCTGCATTATATGCTAGGGATAAACTCGACCAAAGGGTGATTATTTCTAGAAAATTACTATTTCTCTCCTCGTACATAATCTTCTAGACAGTCATACAGGGCAGCCTCCAGGTCGAGGTACCGTGGATCGTCCCATAAACCGTACAGAGAGGCATAGTTAGTGATGTAACCCACGGAGAGCTGGTTGACGGGGTCAAAGTGTCCGACTTGACCTCCATAGCCTGGGTGACCAATAAGTTTCTGGCCCTGAAAAACAACATCAGTTAGTATAGTATAATACATGGATATTGTTGGCATTGGTTCCTATAGCGCAATTATGCAAATAGTATTTAGGTGGCAACGTATAGGCCTAAACATATGTTAAGCTCATTTCTGAATAAATACATGTACGCATTGTAATGTTCATAAAGCTTATTTGTGTCGATGTGAAAGAAATAAAAGTGATTCTATGGCGTTTCATTGGCCAACCAAGCAATTTCTAATGCATAAACCAAAAGAATAGGCCACGCCCACCAATAGACTACTGTTTCATGATTGGCAGATAACAGGGTGGGCGGGGCATCGGTTGATGTTTTGCGTTGAACGATGTCACTGATTTCTTGTCCACATAGTTTGTTTTAATTATTAAGTAAGTTGACATGTCAAGGAGTTATTATTGTGAACTTTGACTTCAATAGTTTTACTTAAAAAAAACCGCAAACAATATTTTATAATTTTAGTGTCCACGTCCGGGAGGATGGTATGGTAATGTGACTGTTAACGTTCTAGCGCCTCACGGGTAGCTTCAGTTGTAGGGGCGGTCGGGTAGCCTAGTGGTTAGAGCGTTCGATCGTCACGCCGAAGACCCGGGTTCGATTCCCGACATGGGTACAATGTGTGAAGCCCATTTCTGGTGTCCCCCGCCGTGATATTGCTGGAATATTGCTAGAAGCGGCGTAAAACCATACTCACTCACTTCAGTTGTATATTCCACAGGGAGCTGAAAATGAATCATTGGGTGCACACTGATCCACTGACCGCACTTTAAACATACACGAGTGTGGAGTTTACCGCTTTGTGAGAAGCCTCTTTATTATTGTTATCAGACTGACGGTTTCAGTTCTAAACAATGTTCAGATTATAAGGATAATACACATTGGCATGCACATTTTGTCGTATACATGTTTAGATTATGGGGATGTTGTGTTTAGGTGGTGTTTATTTTGTGAGGCCTGTGTCTATGCCGTGTAGATGCTGAAATAGAAGACACCAAATGTGTACTGTAAAACGTGAAATTAATGCGTCTCCAAAAGATTGCGACCGCTGGCCCCTAGCCAAAAATGCGACTCAATATGAATGCGACACCCCCTCCTCTCAAGAATCAGTAGATTTATATCTAAACAAAATGACCTCTGTCAGGTTTACAGGAGAATCCTCACCTGAATCCAACCTTACATTAATCCAATCACACACCAAATAGCACAGCTTATTAGCGCTGAGTAGAGTACTTCAGCTAAAACAATACGTTAGAGCTGGCTCTTGTCTTGGGACTTGCAGGTGTGCGATGTTTAATAATGCGAGCAAAGACCACTCGCACCGTTAGTCGCCTCTTACTACAAGCATAGTCGCCTTTTACGGCTAGAATGGGTTGCTGAAGACCTACGTATATACTCTACCCCGGATCTTCACGGGTCGACAAAGGTATTACTTAATACACGACCAAGGGTTATAACCAACGCCAATCTGGTGATCTTACAGGATGCAGCCTGTGAAATTGTGTTCTATAAGCGGTGGATATGGAGTGTTCGGCCTATTGAAGACCCTTATATAAGATCATTGTATTCTGCACGTACCTTATACTTGGGGTACGGGAGTTCACGAAATGCTACTCCTCTGCCCCACTCTGCAATGAGCGTAGGAAGTACGAGATCCTGACCGGTTCTTAAACTGCTTGTCACCAGTTTCCAAGTTTCCGGTTTGATGAGCTGTTTCCCTTTGATACTTCCGCCCATGGCCATGTAACTGTACAGCTTGGCGATGCTGCGGGCCGTCCCTATACCAAGTAAGGCTGACTGCCCAATACTCATCTCTTCGGGGTCATTAAGTTTATTGAACTGTCAAAAAACATACACTGTAAAGTAATGAAGTCCGGTGAGCATGGCTTACCTTATAGATGGACGTATAACAGAGAGGGACACCATGGGTGCTTCCATGTGAAGAATCTAATGTGATCTCATGAGCGGGAGAACATATATGATATGGATTTCAAAGTCTTAATCCCTTCGGGGGTGCAAGGGTGGCCCAGTCGTCTAAGGCGCCGCGATTCGCTGTGCAGAGTTGCGTCACTTCGGCACACCAGAACCTATGATTGTGGGTTCGAATCCCGGTTCGCCCCGATTATCTTTGTAGGTTTGTCAGCACCATACCCGTGCTCGTGGGTTTCACCGAAGTGGTACACGTCTGAGACCTGCATCATTTCGGGCTTTCCTCCCACATTAAGCTGACACGCCGCTATATAACAGGAATACTGTTAAAAGCTGCGTTAAACTCAACTCACTCACTCACCTAATCCCTCGTTTCGGTTCAGGTGCGAGAACCTTTATCAAAGATGTGATCAGTTTAATGACTTGATAGATATACCAGCACCTAAACAAAAACAACAACGTTGCATTAAAAGACTAAGTTGAAATCCACGTCAAACTTTTCTTTACTTCTGTTAGTTTATAGTGTACTATTCCATTTCTCAATTAAAAATAAAACGCTTTCTGTCCGGTATTACCGAAGCTTCCCCAAGGTCAGGACGTATCAGATGTTTTAGATACAACGAACACTGCATGCTTGATGTAAAGCAACTGAAAACCACAATACAATGATGCAAATGGATAAGGGAACTGTAAGTTTTAGACACAGTAAAATGATAATGCTATCATGGGCTCCCAGCCTTGTCCACCAAATACGCATTGAAAGCAATCCACACAAACATATCTCAACATTTGATTCTGACGTTGTATGCTCGTTATTTCAAATGTACTGACAGTAAATCTAATTTCCTTATGTTTTTTGGGGGGCGGTCGGGTAGCCTAGTGGTTAAAACGTTCGATCGTCACGCCGAAGACCCTGGTTCGATTCCCGACATGGGTACAATGTGTGAAGCCCATTTCTGGTGTCCCCCGCCGTGATATTGCTGGAATATTGCTAAAAGCGGCGTAAAACCAAACTCACTCACTCACTCCTTATGATTTTCATCGTTCCCTTATTCGTTTTCATCAGTATATTTTAGAAGTGTCCTACACTAGCTCAGACACTATTCCAACAGCCTATTACCTTCAAGTCGATAACATTCATGGCCTTGGCAGTGATGGATTCTGGTAAGAACAAGGTACTGCCAAAGAGGTGAAACGAACGCCAAGACGCCAGGGAAGCGATGACCGTCCCCATGTCGGACAAGAAATGTCCACGGGCTACTCGATGTGACAGAGATTTTGGGAGACCGATGTGGAAGTCGATGCCTGCAACAAAAAAATACAATCCCTTATGTTGGAAGCACCGATTTAGCTATGTGTGTGTGTGTGTGTGTGTGTGTGTGTGTGTGTGTGTGTGTGTGTGTGTGTGTGTGTGTGTGTGTGTGTGTGTGTGTGTGGACTATACATAACGACGAAGCAAACTCAATTAAATCACACGGACCCGTCACACGATCTCCCTTTAAGTGGATTCTTATGGGATACTGGAGAACTGGAGAACTATTGTGGCTAAATGTACAACAACAAACAAACAAACAAACAAAACGTAGCAGCGGCCCAACCTGACACCATTTAAATTCAACCTCCATTTATTTTGAGCAATATCCCAGCAGCTCCAGCCTTTGGTGTATACACTTTCGCTGTTGAGATACAACAGAGCATCTTTCTATGACGATTTCAAAGAGCGTCAAAATGTGTGTTTGATGAGGGTTACAAAATTCAAGGCCTTAGTAAACCTTTCAAAAATATTATGTCATATTATGGAACACATGTGGAGGACATTTCCAAATCTGACACCAGTAGGGCGAAGTATGCTCGCCTTTTCGCGAACAGCTGGTATCGTCACTACTTTATAGTGATTTATAAACACTCTTCTGAAATAGTCGAGCTCATGTAATGGATTTTGCTTTTAGCAAAGGTGTTATGTATGATCTATGATTAAAAAAAGAGTTGTGTTGCTTACATTTACAAAGACACACAATCAACCAAGTCAGCGAATTTGTGAGTTCTTTGTTTTAATATTCTGTTCCAAATTCCAATATATGCATCACCACAATCTAATCTAAGTGCTTCAAAGTAATTGATGTACACTGCTTATTGGTCAAATAACATTTAGTCAACGTCAATGCCAGATAATTGAGAGTGGTTATTCTTGTATATTTTATTCACGACTGAATAATAATTACATGTACCATATTTGATTCACCGCTCATCGTCATTGACACGCATTGACTTTGACCAATTCGTTTTTCACGTAGATAAAATGGACTCTAAGGTATGTTTGGGGTGTAATGTAAAACGTTGTCCTATAGCCGTGAACTAATTTACTCATCAGATCAGTAGATCAGCAGTCTTCTTAAGCATAATCGTAGCCCAACGTTCTGGCACGTTGCTGTTTATGTCATTCGCTGATTTGATGAGGATATTACGGCGTAAACAAACAAACAAACAAACAAACAAACAAACAAACAAACACCAGGTATAGTTGCTCGCGTTAATTATACATAATATACAATAAAGCAGTTGGTACTTTGAAATAGTTGGTTTTAACCGACAGCATGTATTCGTTTACTCACCAAAAGGCTCGGCAATCTCCTCCCGGAATATCTGCGTAATGTTCCTGTGTTTGGGATCTGCCATCCTCACAAGAGTGTCCACAAAGAAACCATATGTGATGGCATGGTAACCGTGAGCAGTGCCTGCACACAGTACATATACTAGTTAGTCGTCGGGTCGTTTTACCAATGTATACGGGCTTATTGTATATGCCTAGTAATACATCAGGCGTTAGTCGTTTACCAATTTGGGGAAACCCGCGAGCACGGGTATAGTGCAGACAAACAAACGGGATTCGCACCCAAGATCATAGGTTGCTGGCGTGTGGTTTAGTACCTGCATCAGAAGAACATCTTACCAAAGGAAATACACGAAGACATGAAAAGCATTCGTGGGATTGACAGCCTTTTGTATCCAAATGTAAAAGGGTAAGTTCACACGAAAATGAACCCATTTGTCTTATTCTTTTTCAACATGAAAACTATTTTACCTGGTAGTTTCAGAGCCAAAATGATACAAATATCACAAGTAATGAATTTATGTTATGCATTAAATCGGTTCATATTTTTGGTACATTTGTTGAAATCTTTTACTCTATACATCTTTTAGTTGAGCAAATGTTATTCAGGTCGAATTTGTGATTCGAAGCACGCATGAGCAAATGTTGGTTGGCAGGTCTCCCTGAGTATATATTATGTATGCTGCTGGTGGTGGTCTCAGTGATACCAACCTGGTTCCCAGAGTGGCGTCACTTTCTCCAGTCGTCGGGTGAACTCTTCCTGGTTATCACGATATTCACGAAGACTCGTCATGTTTCCCCCGAGGGCCACCAGACCACCCTGAGAACACAATTGTCTTACTATTCCAGATGCATTACATGCAGTATTTACACAAACGTTCCATGCTGCCATCGATGGACACCTGACCACCCTGTGAACACAACTGTCGAACTATTCCAGATGCAGCACATGTCTTGACATTCATACAAACGTGCCATGTTGCCTCCGAGGGACACCAGACCACCCTCTGAACACAATTGTCTAACCATTCCAGCTGCAGCACATGTCTTGACATTCATACACACGTGCCATGTTGCCTCCGAGGGACACCAGACCACCCTCTGAACACAATTGTCTAACTATTCCAGCTGCAGCACATGTCTTGACATTCATACAAACGTGCCATGTTGCCTCCGAGGGACACCAGACCACCCCGTGAACACAATTGTCTAACTATTCCAGCTGCAGCACATGTCTTGACATTCATACAAACGTGCCATGTTGCCTCCGAGGGACACCAGACCACCCTCTGAACACAATTGTCGAACTATTCCAGCTGCAGCACATGTCTTGACATTCATACAAACGTGCCATGATGCCTCCGAGGGACACCAGACCACCCTCTGAACACAATTGTCTAATTATTTCAGCTGCAGCACATGTCTTGACATTCATACAAACGTGTCATGTTGCCGCCGATGGACACCAGACCACCCTCTGAACACAATTGTCTAACTATTCCAGCTGCAGCACATGTCTTGACATTCATACAAACGTGCCATGTTGCCTCCGAGGGACATCTGACCACCCCGTGAACACAATTGTCTAACTATTCCAGCTGCAGCACTTGTCTTGACATTCATACAAACGTGCCATGTTGCCTCCGAGGGACACCAGACCAACCTCTGAACACAATTGTCTAACTATTCCAGCTGCAGCACATGTCTTGACATTCATACACACGCGCCATGTTGCCTCCGAGGGACACCTGACCACCCTCTGAACACAATTGTTTGACTATTCCAGATGCATTATATGCAGTATTCATACAAACGTGCCATGTTGCCTCCGATGGACACCAGACCACCCTCTGTACACAATTGTCTAATTATTCCAGCTGCAGCACCTGTCTTGACATTCATACAAACGTGCCATGTTGCCTCCGAGGGACACCTGACCACCCTCTGAACACAATTGTCTAACTATTCCAGCTGCAGCACATGTCTTGACATTCATACAAACGTGCCATGTTGCCTCCGAGGGACACCTGACCACCCAGTGAACACAGTTGTCTAACTATTCCAGATACACTACATGTAGTATTCATACAAACGTTCCATGCTGCCTCCGATGGACACCTGACCACCCCGTGAACACAATTGTCTGACTATTCCAGATGCATTATATGTAGTATTCATACAAACGTGCCATGTTGCCTCCGATGGACACCAGACCACCCTCTGAACTAAATTGTCTAACTATTCCAGCTGCAGCACATGTCTTGACATTCATACAAACGTGCCATGTTGCCTCCGAGGGACACCTGTCCACCCCGTGAACACAATTGTCTAACTATTGCAGATGCATTATATGTAGTATTCATACAAACGTGCCATGTTGCCTCCGATGGACACCAGACCACCCTCTGAACTAAATTGTCTAACTATTCCAGCTGCAGCACATGTCTTGACATTCATACAAACGTGCCATGATGCCTCCGAGGGACACCAGACCACCCTCTGAACACAATTGTCTAATTATTTCAGCTGCAGCACATGTCTTGACATTCATACAAACGTGTCATGTTGCCGCCGATGGACACCAGACCACCCTCTGAACACAATTGTCTAACTATTCCAGCTGCAGCACATGTCTTGACATTCATACAAACGTGCCATGTTGCCTCCGAGGGACATCTGACCACCCCGTGAACACAATTGTCTAACTATTCCAGCTGCAGCACTTGTCTTGACATTCATACAAACGTGCCATGTTGCCTCCGAGGGACACCAGACCACCCTCTGAACACAATTGTCTAACTATTCCAGCTGCAGCACATGTCTTGACATTCATACACACGCGCCATGTTGCCTCCGAGGGACACCTGACCACCCTCTGAACACAATTGTCTAACTATTCCAGATGCATTATATGTAGTATTCATACAAACGTGCCATGTTGCCTCCGATGGACACCAGACCACCCTCTGTACACAATTGTCTAATTATTCCAGCTGCAGCACTTGTCTTGACATTCATACAAACGTGCCATGTTGACTCCGAGGGACACCTGACCACCCTCTGAACACAATTGTCTAACTATTCCAGCTGCTGCACATGTCTTGACATTCATACAAACGTGCCATGTTGCCTCCGAGGGACACCTGACCACCCAGTGAACACAATTGTCTGACTATTCCAGATACACTACATGTAGTATTCATACAAACGTTCTATGCTGCCTCCGATGGACACCTGACCACCCCGTGAACACAATTGTCTGACTATTCCAGATGCATTATATGTAGTATTCATACAAACGTGCCATGTTGCCTCCGATGGACACCAGACCACCCTCTGAACTAAATTGTCTAACTATTCCAGCTGCAGCACATGTCTTGACATTCATACAAACGTGCCATGTTGCCTCCGAGGGACACCTGACCACCCCGTGAACACAATTGTCTGACTATTCCAGATGCATTATATGTAGTATTCATACAAACGTGCCATGTTGCCTCCGATGGACACCAGACCACCCTCTGAACTAAATTGTCTAACTATTCCAGCTGCAGCACATGTCTTGACATTCATACAAACGTGCCATGATGCCTCCGAGGGACACCAGACCACCCTCTGAACACAATTGTCTAATTATTTCAGCTGCAGCACATGTCTTGACATTCATACAAACGTGTCATGTTGCCGCCGATGGACACCAGACCACCCTCTGAACTAAATTGTCTAACTATTCCAGCTGCAGCACATGTCTTGACATTCATACAAACGTGCCATGATGCCTCCGAGGGACACCAGACCACCCTCTGAACACAATTGTCTAATTATTTCAGCTGCAGCACATGTCTTGACATTCATACAAACGTGTCATGTTGCCGCCGATGGACACCAGACCACCCTCTGAACACAATTGTCTAACTATTCCAGCTGCAGCACATGTCTTGACATTCATACAAACGTGCCATGTTGCCTCCGAGGGACATCTGACCACCCCGTGAACACAATTGTCTAACTATTCCAGATGCATTATATGTAGTATTCATACAAACGTGCCATGTTGCCTCCGATGGACACCAGACCACCCTCTGTACACAATTGTCTAATTATTCCAGCTGCAGCACTTGTCTTGACATTCATACAAACGTGCCATGTTGACTCCGAGGGACACCTGACCACCCTCTGAACACAATTGTCTAACTATTCCAGCTGCAGCACATGTCTTGACATTCATACAAACGTGCCATGTTGCCTCCGAGGGACACCTGACCACCCAGTGAACACAATTGTCTGACTATTCCAGATACACTACATGTAGTATTCATACAAACGTTCCATGCTGCCTCCGATGGACACCTGACCACCCCGTGAACACAATTGTCTGACTATTCCAGATGCATTATATGTAGTATTCATACAAACGTGCCATGTTGCCTCCGATGGACACCAGACCACCCTCTGAACTAAATTGTCTAACTATTCCAGCTGCAGCACATGTCTTGACATTCATACAAACGTGCCATGTTGCCTCCGAGGGACACCTGACCACCCCGTGAACACAATTGTCTGACTATTCCAGATACACTACATGTAGTATTCATACAAACGTTCCATGCTGCCTCCGATGGACACCAGACCACCCTCTGAACACAATTGTCTTACTATTCCAGCTGTAGCACATGTCTTGACATTCATACAAACGTGTCATGTTGCCTCCGAGGGACACCAGACCACCCTCTGAACACAATTGTCTAACTATTCCAGCTGCAGCACATGTCTTGACATTCATACAAACGTACCATGTTGCCTCCGATGGACACCAGACCACCCTCTGAACACAACTGTCGAACTATTCCAGCTGCAGCACATGTCTTGACATTCATACAAACGTGCCATGTTGCCTCCGAGGGACACCTGACCACCCAGTGAACACAATTGTCTAACTATTCCAGATGCATTATATGCAATATTTACACAAACGTTCCATGCTGCCGCCGATGGACACCAGACCACCCTGTGAACACAACTGTCGAACTATTCCAGATGCAGCACATGTCTTGACATTCATACAAACGTGCCATGTTGCCTCCGAGGGCCACAGGCTCCCTGTGAACACAATTGTCTAACTATTCCAGCTGCATACATATCTTTACATAGATACAAACGTGCCATGTTACCTCCGAGTTAACACACCCAATTGGCCAGCTGTTTTCAGTTGAAGTATTTATTTTGTACGTGTCAACAAGACTGACTAGTCTTGCTGTCCCTTCAAATAATAGGCCACCCTGTCAACACAACTAGTGAGGGTTATTCATGATGTTATTAAATACATATTGACGGATTGTCCAGTTACATAATTTTTCATTGCCTCGGAAGAGACTGTGTGAGCCTACCTGATGTCCAAGTAGCTGTTCCACAGTTATCTCCCCTTTGCCGTTCTGAGCAAACCCCGGCCAATAGTGGGCCACTGGCTTCTTGTAGTCCAGCCAGCCCCTGGATATAACCATGTTGAGAGTCATACATTACTATATCTGGTTGGCGATTAACACATGTGACAGAATTTTATACCAGTTAACTTCCAAAATTATATGAACAGGTTTTTATGTTTCAAATTTAAGATTTTAACCATGTATTGAGGATTACTTGTTGGCTGCACAAACACAAATAAGCCAAAAATGTGTATGCTATTTGCTAGCTGAAGTATAGATGGAACTGAACTATTCACTGTTTTCGTCACGAGACGACCAAGCACGCGGAAAAACGATGTATTCCTTTTGATGTTTTGACAAAGAATTATGAAACGGATTTCCAATGGGTCTCGTAAATGACAGTACAAGTACCAGAACATAATTTGAAATTCCGAATTTGCGGTTTGAAATTACTTGAGGAAAGTAGATAGAAGTCCAGAATGCACTGGATATTGAGCTAAGTGACACTTCCTTCAAAGACTTGTGATAGAACATGTATTTGCTTACAAGTCGGGTTAATATTTTAAATTAACTTTGTAAATAACTTGAGGGCTTGAGTCCCACACTATATATTTAACCGGCACATATATATCATATCCGTTGTTCCTTGGTGTGTATTCTCTAAATTTCCGAGGGGGCACGGGTGGCCCAGTCGTCGAAGGCGCCGCAATTCGCTGTGCAGAGTTGCGGCCCTTGGGCGCGCCAGAAACCTATGATTGTGGGTTCGAATCCCGGTTCGCCCCGATTATGTTTGTAGGTTTGTCAGCACCATACCCGTGCTCGTGGGTTTCACCGAAGTGGTACACGTCTGAGACCTGCATCACTTCGGGCTTTCCTCGCACATTAAGCTGACACGCCGCTATATAACTGGAATAATGTTAAAAGGGGCGTTAAACCTAACTCACTCACTCACTCATACTAAATTTCCGGGGATTATGGTTCCACTCACTTGTCTACCATCCTTGCCGCGGTGAGAGCGGCGATGCCCTTCGTAGTTGAGAAGACAACGAACATGGTGTCTCCGGACCATTGTCTCCCCGCCTCCTCATCAGCATAGCCAGCCCACATGTCAACCACAACCTCTCCACGGTGATACACAGTAAACGCTGCACCCTTTTCTTTCCCATTTTCGATATTTGCTCTGTTAAAAGAAACACGACGTTGCAGAAACAAAGTGTTATAAAGTTGCAGGAGACAGTACAAATAAACATAATGTGGCAGTAGAAAGAACAAAGAATCACAATGTGGCAAGAGAAATGACAAAGAACAACAATGTGGCAAGAGAAAGGACACAGGACCACAATGTGGCAAAAGAAAGGACACAGAACCACAATGTGGCAGTAGAAAGAACAAAGAACGACAGTGTGGCAGTACAAAGGACAAAGAAACAGAATGTGGCAGGAGAAAGGACAAAGAAAGGCAGTCGAAACGACATAGAAATATACTGTGGCGGTAGAAAGAACAAAAAAACACAATATGGCAGGAGAAAGTACAAAGAAACAGAATGTGGCAGGATAAAGGACAAGGAAACAGAACGTGGCAGGATAGAGGACAAAAAAACACCGACAAACCAATGCGAATTTTGTACGGGTAAGGCAATAAAATATGTGTACGGGTGAGGAAATATGTGTGCGGGTGTGAAAATATATGTATCGGTAAGGCAATTTGTGTACGGGTAAGGGAATATGTGTAAAAGTGAGGCAATATGTGTACAGGTGAGGCAATATATGTACGTGTAAGGCAACATGTGTACGGATAAACCAGTACGTGGGCGGGTAAGGCTATATTTGTAAGGGTAAGGCAATATGTTTACGGGTAAGGCAATATGTGTATGAGTAAGGCAATATATGTACGGAAAGGCAAGATATATATCAGTAAGGCAACATGTGTACGGCTTAACAAATATATGTACGGGTAAGGCATTATTTGTAGAGGTAAGGCAATATGTGTACGGATAAGGCAATATGTGTACGGGTAAAGCAATATGTGTACGGGTGGGCAATATGTGCACCAGTAAGGCAATATTTGTAGGGGTAAGGCAATATATGTACGGATAAGGCAATATGTGTATCAGTAAGGTCATATGTGCACTGGCAATATATATTGTATGTATGTATGTATGTATGTATGTATGTATGTATGTATGTATGTATGTATGTATGTATGTATGTATGTATATACGAGTAATGCAATATATGTATCAGTTAGGTAATATGTGCACTGGTGAGGCAATATGTGTATTAGTAGGGCAATATGTGTACGGATAAGGCAATATGTGTACGAGTAAGGCAGTATATGTATCAGTTAGGTAATATGTGCACTGGTGAGGCAATATGTGTACGGATAAGGCAATATATTTATCAGTTAGGTAATATGTGCACTGGTGAGGCAATATCTGTATTAGTAAGGCAATATGTGTATTAGTAAGGCAATATGTGTACGGATAAGGCAATACGTGTACGGTGAAAGCAAAAGATGTACGGGTAAGGCAATATGTGCACTGGTGAGGCAATATGTGTACGGGTAAGGCAATACATGTATGGGTGAGGCAATATATGTACGTGTAAGGCAACATGTGTACGGATAAACCAATACGTGGACGGGTAAGGCTATATTTGTAGGGGTAAGGCAATATGTTTACGGGGTAAGGTAATACATGTATGGGTAAGGCAATATGTGTACGGGTAAGGCAATATATGAAAGGATATGGCAATATATGTACATGTTATGCAATTTATATATACGGGTAAGGCAATATATGTATAAGTAAGGTTACATGTGCACTGGTAAGGCAATATGTGTATTAGTAAATCAATATATGTATCAATAAAGCAATATTTGTATGAGTAAGGCAATACATGTACGGGTAAGGCAATATGTGTACGGGAAAAGCAATATTTGTATGAGTAAGGCAATATGTGTACGAGTAAGGCAATATTTGTACTAGTAAGGCGATATTAATAGTAAGCAAATAAGTATACACGCAAGGTTATATGTGTACGAGTAAGGCAACATGTGTACGGCTAAACCAATATGTCTATGGATAAGACAATATGTGTATGGGTAAGGCAATACGTGTACGAGTAAGCCAATATATGTCCGATTAAAACAATGAATGTACGAATAATGTACGTTTATATCATAAGCATGTGCTCATGAATCACTATCAAATAGTGATGACATCAAGTGTTCGCGAAAAGGGGAGCTTATCCTGCCTCACCGGTTGCACCCGTCACAAACACATGTAAAGGTAAGTCAATTACCTGAAACAAACACGGGGTCATATGTTACAAGTCAAAATAGGAAAATGCATCGGACATAACTTTTATTACTGATCGCGTCAAACTTTTAAATGTCCTCAAAATGTCTACCATAAAACATTTTGAAAGCATTACTGAGGCCTTGGATGTTGTAACCTTGATCAAGCTACTTCTGAGTTCAATGACGCTCTTTGAATCCTGGTGGAAAAAGCATGCTCGATTGTACCTCAAAATTGTGAAATCAGGACACGAAGGGCTGGAGCTGCAGGAAGATTGCTCGACATGAAGGGAACGTTGACAATTAGAAAGTTGAAGTTGAAAGGTGAAAAATATATATGTCCCAATCAAAAGTTGTAGAACGACGCCAATATATATATACAGGTGAGACATTTATTATGCCTGCGAGTGAACCAATAATTGTACGAATGAAGCAAAGTGTGTATAAGGAAGACACTATTCAAGTCAGTGAGTCACCATGAGTCAGTGCAATTGTTACGCAGGACGTGTCTCCGTAAGCGTATGCACCTATCGGATTCAACGTTTAATTCTCTCTCTAAACAAATTCTGAATAGTGTACTAGCAACGCAACCACGCCCACACTGCTATCTGTGTACATCAAATCAACCTACTTTAAGCTGGGCCGTCACAATTCACACAAACATAATGCACTACACATGCTCAATCTTGCGGTCTTGGTCCAAAGTCCGGGCGTGCAACCGGGTGGTTGAAAATGGAAAAAATATATTCGACCTGAATTCATTGACCCACATAATATTCTAACGCTAAATGAACCATGACAGATACATCTCCACTTCATAACTCACCTGAGGGTGTCAGCAACTTTGCGAAACTTCGGATGAAAATACCCTTCGACAAAAGGATTCTGTTTGGGAGCGAACAGTCTGGGCAGATACGTGAACGCAAGGGTGAAAAGGACGAGGGTAACCCCCCACTGTATAAGTCCCATCGTCAACTGTCAAACCGCTCAGGTGCTTCGCAACGCAATATATTTTTCTCGGGAGCCTTTGCTTTAGCTCCGCCGAGCGATTGTACGCTTGTCTCCGTGTGCCCAGCAGGTGAAATGGCCTTATGACAGGGAAACCGGTTCAAGAACGCAGTCGGTAAACTTCGGCTTTTGTGCAGCATACACTGTGATAAACTTTGATACCATATAAATAGGTATTTATTTTTCGACAGATAACGCTACGGTAACACTGAAGTAAGCACTCGTATAATATATATATCATTATAAGGGTAAGGCGAGAATATGCTTTTTGCTTGTTTGTAAGGATTATGCAGATCAGCGTCAAATTTATCTTCACAAGGAAAACTATGTACATCCCTCCTTACAGAAATATAATATACTGATGTGTGTTGTGTGGACCTGAGCTCCTAACAGGAATCCTCTCGGGTCAAATCAGGGCCGTTGATCAGATCGAGGGTTTCTGCAAATGATAATGCCGTAAAAAAATTTGCGTCAGCTAAAATCGACAGAGCAACGAAAGCAAAGCATTTGTCCTGAAAACTAACAACACAACAGGGCCCCAGAAACACGCAGTCAAGAAAGGATTACGTCATTATAGGTCGATCGCATGACGTCATTCGAGCTCAGCTGTCGATTCCAACCTCGGGGCATACAATTTCGTGGGCTATTCGAACGTTAATTTGGGGAGTTACATGCACTCCCCTATACCTGTTACATGCACTCCCCTATACCTGTTACATGCACTCCCCTATACCTGTTACATGCACTCGTCTATACCTGTTACATGCACTCCTCTATACCTGTTACATGCACTCCTCTATACCTGTTACATGTACTCCCCTATACCTGTTACGTGCATCCCCAATACCTGTTACATGCACTCCCCTATACCTGTTACATGCACTCCTCTATACCTGTTACATGCACTCCTCTATACCTGTTACATGTACTCCCCTATACCTGTAACATGTACTCCCCTATACCTGTTACATGCACTCCCCTATACCTGTTACATGCACTCCCCTATACCTGTTACATGCACTCCCCTATACCTGTTACATGCACTCCTCTATACCTGTTACATGTACTCCCCTATACCTGTAACATGCACTCCCCTATACATGTAACATGCACTCCCCTATACCTGTTACATGCACTCGCCTATACCTGTTACATGCACTCCCCTATACCTGTTACATGCACTCCTCTATACCTGTTACATGCACTCCTCTATACCTGTTACATGCACTCCCCTATACCTGTTACATGCACTCCCCTATACCTGTTACATGCACTCCCCTATACCTGTTACATGCACTCCCCTATACCTGTTACATGCACTCCCCTATACCTGCTGCATGTACTCTCCTATACATGTAACATGCACTCCTCTATACCTGTTACATGCACTCCCCTATACCTGTTACATGCACTCCCCTATACCTGTTACATGCACTCCCCTATACCTGTTACATGCACTCCTCTATACCTGTTACATGTACTCCCCTATACCTGTAACATGCATCCCCTATACCTGTTACATGCACTCCTCTATACCTGTTACATGCACTCCCCTATACCTGTTACATGCACTCCTCTATACCTGTTACATGTACTCCCCTATACCTGTAACATGCATCCCCTATACCTGTTACATGCACTCCTCTATACCTGTTACATGCACTCCCCTATACCTGTTACATGCACTCCCCTATACCTGTTACATGCACTCCTCTATACCTGTTACATGCACTCCCCTATACCTGTTACATGCACTCGCCTATACCTGTTACATGCACTCCCCTATATCTGTCACCAATAACGTTTTGAATGATTTCAAGAATTGGTTGTTCTGAGACTGAGTCACAAAATCACATTAACACCAGGCCTTTTGTATGACGGGCGAAATGTTAGACGGGTGTGAGTGACGTACATTGACTATTTACAATGAAAACATGGCTTTGGGTCCGGTGTTTCATCAAAGTTACTGTCCCGATTCACGAGCCTGTGATACAACACTCGAGGGTGATTTATCTGGTGTATCAAGTGCAGCACGTGGGCGTTGCGACACTCGAGGAAAGATTGAAATTCACACCTATCACGCAGATAAGTTGGGTCACAGTGACATCTGCTGGTCCACGTGGGGAGTAATCTCGGACGTCCGTGTCGACATGGATCTGGCGACCTCTCCACTGACAACAAGTATCGGCCTGTAGCACTGACGTATGCCTGCATACTGGTATGTATGTATTTATCACTAAGTATGTCATTTATAGTTATTCGAATTTATTATCTGGTATTATCATGTTTCGTAGTTGACAAGCCCCGTATCAATCATTGCACTGTCGAGAGTTACAATATCAATGACAATGTCATTTGATATTGAAATTTTGGTATGTTGGATCTTATTTGTGGTGATGTTATGTTCGCTGACCACAGAGCCCCCAGAATAAGGAAATACTTCCGCCCGTATACAAAAGTTGTATATGTATGCATTGCCGCTCGATCCTTTTAATTATATATATTTTTGACGGGGCATATGTAAGAATGAATATTATCCTACCCTATTTTTATCCCGGGGATGAAATTCTCTGCTGTCAGGATAATTCTCCCTGGTGAATTTGAGCCCATACCAGTGTGTATAATCATATTGATACTATACTCTAGAGTAAAACTTCCCCCGGGATAATATTTAGGTAGGATATAATCCTTGCTTACACACACATTTCATCTTTCGTCCATGCTTGTTATGTATAATCGGCCTTCTTTAACGGCATCCTCTTTTATTCAGTGCGTTCAAAGTATCATAATAGAATTGGTATATGATGCACTTAATTATCAGGGATGGTGTAACATCAGCCTGTAAATCAGTCTGTGGTACGAGGGTACATACTCACCCAGATCCATTGCGGCCAGCGATTGTCACCATCTTCTCGAGGCAAGGTAGTTAACTGACTGTAAAGGTCCAGTTTCAACCCTTGCCGAACTAGGCTGGAATTATGGAGTTTTCTTTTGGCTGGACAAACGTGTCTATGCATAGTCCAATAAATATCGCTCAACGAAATCGACATCCGGTTCGTAAACTTCATGTTTTAATCAAGGTGCGGGGGCACGGGTGGCCCAGTCGTCTAAGGCGCCGCGATTCGCTGTGCAGAGTTGCGTCCCTTGGGCACGCCAGAAACCTATGATTGTGGGTTCGAATCCCGGTTCGCCCCGATTATGTTTCTAGATTTGTCAGCACCATACCCGTGCTCGTGGGTTTCAGCGAATTGGTAAACGTCTGAGACCTGCATCACTTCGGGCTTTCCTCCCACATTAAGCTGACACGCCGCGATATAACTGGAATATTGTTAAAAGCGGCGTTGAACCCAACTCACTCACTCACTCACTAATCAAGGTGCTCACGTGAGTTGATGCATTTCGCGAAGTGAGACCCGTTTTCTTACAATATGGATTTTGATTATCGATCAAATCGTCTTGACTAGGCCCTTCGTTTTGTTTAAAGCAAATGTAAGTGATATGAGAGGTGGAGTCTCATTGGTGAATAGGAGGGACATACAAGGGACGTATCTCGTAGACCCGTTTTCTTACAATATGGATTTTGATTATCGATCAAATCGTCTTGACTAGGCCCTTCGTTTTGTTTAAAGCAAATGTGAGTGATATGAGAGGTGGAGTCTCATTGGTGAATAGGAGGGACATACAAGGGACGTATCTCGTAATAACCATTAGTGACGCTACGATCGAGTCCAAAGATTCCAGCCTTGTTCGCAAGGGTGGAAACTAGACTTTAAAGTCAGTTTACTCCCTTGTCTCGGGAAGATGATTATCACTGTAGTCGGCCGCTCGATTCTCATTGTTTTCGACATTTATTTCAAGCATGGGTTACCGGGGATCCTTTACGCCCCGGCCCCGTGAAGATCCGGGTTAGTTTAGGTCTTCAGCAACCCACGATTGTCGTAAGAGGTGACTGTGCTTGTCGTAAGAGGCGACTTACGGGATCGGGTGGTCAGGCTCGCTGACATGGTTGACGCATGTCATCGTATCCCAATTGTGTAGATCGATGCTCATGATGTCAATCATGGGATTGTCTGGTCCAGACTCGTTTATTTACAGACCACCGTCATATAGCTGGAATATTGCTGCGTGCGGCGTTAAACAACAAACAAACAAATAAACAAACGTACGCTCGGAAATTCTAATTGGCAACAGAAGCAACTTAAATAGTGTTTTGACAGCCACATTGGCTACTGACAGATGCAAACGGATGAGGGCAGGATGAGGGCAGGATGAGGGGTTAAGTTTAAGTTCAAGTTTTGGATTAGCAAGCAGGGGAATCTGATTCTATTCCCCACATGGAAAATATGCTAAAACATTTTAGTGTCCCACGCCGTTATTTTGCAGAATTAATGCCAAAGAGGCATTACACCACGCACTCACTACCTCATCTAGAGCTACTGAAGAAAGTATTTGTTAAAAAACAAAACATTTGTCCTCATTTGTCTTTTTTCGCGTAACGTCTCGGGTCGCCCGCAGAAAAATGGCAAAAGAACTCACACATTTACTCACTCATTCAAGTATAGCTGCTCCCTCCGATACCTATCAGTAAGTCATTAACACCTCGCGACTGCACAGCCCATTCACTACCGCCCCTTGCAGCCTGAAAACGACAGCCACGAACCGTGCTCTGATAATTTCTAGTTTGGGTGAGTCACCCATATAGGAGTTACCTCCCTTAGACCGATATGTCCTCGTTCGCTCAGCACCTCTGAAGTGCACACACACACACAACACACGCATACATGCACACACGCACACGCACGCACGCACGCACGCGCACACACACACACACACGATACAGCTTACCCAAAAGATGGAGAATAAGTCGGCTCAAATGAGGGCATATAGTGACATGCAGTTGATATAAAAGGGTTGGGTATTGGTTAAATATTATGGTTGTGTGGGTCGTAGGGGTGATATTTGGGTCTCTAGACTGAATTTAACCCCCCAATCTTTTGTGTAACATTTTTTTCATGCCCTCACCACTCCCCCATAAAATAAATAATCAGTCCCTCTCTACAAGAATGTCGGTCAGATACAATATATTTATATTAAGATCAATGGTACTCAGGCACGAGTGCGGGGCGGTCGGGTAGCCTAGTGGTTAAAGCGTTCGCTCGTAACGCTGAAGACCCGGGTTCGATTCCCGACATGGGTACAATGTGTGAAGCCCATTTCTGGTGTCCCCCGCCGTGATATTGCTGGAATATTGCTAAAAGCGGCGTAAAACCATACTCACTCACTCACTATTGATGTAAAACATATGTACAACTGCAAAGACCATGAACAGCTATCCTACTTCTCACTATACTTACCCGAGCATTTGAGACCTGTCGGACTCCAACTGAGGTTTTCAAGGCATCTGGTTTTTGCGATCTTAGTTTTAGTGTCAATGTAACCACGGTGACACGTGTACTTCCAGTCACTCACCACAACCCTACTTTTGCCACTGACGTCGGCTTTGTTGATAGGTGGAGGTTGGCTGTTGCTGGAATATTGCTAAAAGCGGCGTAAAACCATACTCACTCACTCACTCAGGCACGAGTGCAGTAATTTGTTTCTTACACACCATATAGCTGGAATATTACTTAGTGCAGCGATAAGCTGTTTAGTGTATGTCTTAATACACAGTAAACAAACACATGCTGAGGGGCTGAAGTCTTTATTGCGATGTCTTGTATCAGGAGATCAAAGATCATAGATCAAAGATATAATCTAAAATTAGGTGAGTTAAATGGCTATAATCTCTATTTTGTGTTGTATTGAGTACAGTATGAAAAAAAATGGACAATGAATTCAGTTAAAATGCGAATCGACCCGTGAAGATTTCGGGGCAGAATAGGTCTTCAGCAACCCATGCTTGCCGTAAAAGGCGACTATGCTTGTCGTAAAAGGCGACTAACGGGATCGGGTGGTCAGGCTCGCTGACTTGGTTGATGCATGTCATCGATCCCAATTGCGTGGATCGATGCTCATGATATTAATCACTGGATTGTCTGGTCCTGACTCGATTATTTACAGACCGCCGTCATAAAGCTGGACTATTGCTGAGTGCGGCGTTAAACAACAAACCAACCAACCAACCAACTAAAATGCGAATCGTTTCAACCCATCCCAGGTACCAGAGCTACGCCAGTAACTATCACGGTGCACTGAAGATGGGCCAGAGGAAGAAGGTCATGCTGTGGACACTGGCTGTTGTGATCTGGTTCTTCATCCACACCATTCTGCTCCTCTTCGTTCTGACAGGCATATACGGGCCATTGGAAGAAGATGGCCGGGCTGAGAAGAGAAGAGAGAATGTGGTGGGATCCACGAGATCTGGGAGACATCCTTCACTAGATCCTTTACCCAAACCATTGCCTTCGTCTCGCACAGGACATGACTTGAAACAGTTGAGAATGGATGTTGATAGGTTTGCATTTTCATTGATAAATAGACAACAAACGCCTTATGTTCATTTGTGTCGTTTCATCCCCGTCGTGGGTTCAACCTCAATATTCCAATTATTAAATAATCAATTTAAAACTCTCGACTCAATAACGCCTTCCACTGAGTAAGGTTCGTGGACGAGACGCCTACTTAACCGTCCAGTGTTAATTTGACAATATTTTCTAAAACTTTAGACACAGTGTTAAGATGCTTAAAACTGCGAATAATAATCATTTGAAACATAAGAATTGTTGGTAATTCTCGCCACTAGTATTTATAGACCGCCTGCGGTTGCAGGAATGTCGGTGCCTGAAAACAACATTCTCTCATATCACTAGTCGTTGAGGGTAATTAAACGGGTCTACCATTATGAAATAGCCTCTGTATGGGTTGGGGTCGACGTCGCTGAATTCGGCAAAACAGGCTTTGAGAAACAAGAAATTGTCGGCTAAAAGATATGAGGTAAATTAGTTTTGTTGGTGAGTCCGTGTGTAATTCTTGCATGTGTTACAATTCAGGAAAGGAATCAAGCTCCACTTCAAACCTACAACGCAGACAACGTCATTTGAGAAATTTCTCATCGGTCCCAAGAAGATGGCTCGCCTTGACGTCGCTATCCAAAATATCATGCGCTCTCACTCGCGTCCCGGAGAGGACTATTACGGCTTCAACATCACCCGCAGCGAGGAAGTTCCCTTCAATAGGGACATTCCGGACAAAAGACCACAGCAGTGTAAGGACGCCGCATTCAACTACTCCGCTCTACCGACTGTTTCCGTGGTAACGCCAGTCCATAACGAGGCTCTTTCTACTCTCGTGCGTCACGTGTTTGCGATATTGTTGCGCACTCCTAATCAGCTGCTGAAAGACATCCTTTTGGTCGACGATAATAGTACGTTTTCTTATTTAGGTGAAGATTTAGAAAATTATTTTCGGATTCTTGACCCACGAATTAAGATTTTGCGCAACAATGGTCGCGAGGGGCTTGTGATGTCAAGGTTGCATGGCGCTGAAATTGCCAAGGGAGACGTGGTTGTCTTCCTTGACGCCCATATGGAGGTGTGCACTGGTTGGTCGGAGCCTCTATTGGACAGAATCAACAGCCAATCAGCTATCGTTGTGCAACCGGATGTGCCCAGCATCGATGGCGACACGTTTGATATAGAGACTGGTGGTCATGTTGTCTTTAGAGGAGGGTTTGGTTGGGACATGAGGTAAGAAGGATCTTTACACCAGTCTGTTTTACATATAAATGCTATATTTTAGCACACAAAATTATATCTGTTACAGTGCATGACGAACATGATGGTTTGATGTGTAGCATTATGTATCGCACCAAGACGTGTTGCATAACGCGTCACAGCAGTTACATATACATGTACAGGTCCCATTCGTCTAAGGCGTCTAAATATGTTATCACAGGGATTGTCGCTTTTATTTCTTCGATACAGGTCACGTCCAACATTATTGCACTTGTAGTGTGTGTGAGTGCGTGCGTGCGTGCGTGCGTGCGTGCGTGCGTGCGTGCGTGCGTGCGTGCGTGCGTGTGTGTGTGTTGGGGGATTGGGGCTTCTTGTACTAGTCCGGACTAATGCCGATTGTATAGTGCTAGCCCACTGAGATACCATGCCGCAGTTTAACATGAATACCTCACCCAGAAACAGTATACTGACTCCGAGCCGACCAGTCGTTGTTTTGACCCCTTTATGCCGAGCGCTAGACAGGGTTACAACAAGTACCATATTTTAACGTCTTTTTGGTATGACGCGGCCAGGATGGAATCCCCGACCTAACGCTCTCCAGGCGTGGCGCTCTACCACAAGAACGCGGAGGCGGTCTTTTTCGAAACTAACTTTTAAGGTTTCCATTGCATTCGCTCGTCACGCCGAAGACCCGGGTTCGATTCCCGACATGGGTACAATGTGTGAAGCCCATTTCAGGTGTCCCCCGCCGTGATATTGCTGGAATATTGCTGGAATATTGCTAAAAGCGGCGTAAAATCCCACTCACTCACTCACTCTATCTTCCACTTGCAGATATGCCTGGATGTTTGTTCCACCATACGTTCATCAGATGCAGACCTCACGAACTGACCCAATTCCAACCCCTGTTCTGGTTGGCTGTGCCATAGCTATAAATAAAAAATATTTCAATTCGATTGGTGGATTTGATCCAGGACTCCAAATATGGGGTGGGGAGCATTTTGATTTGTCCTTCAAGGTATGGACGAGCGGAGGCAGAGTGGAGACGATCCCGTGTTCGAAAGTAGGTCACCTTTTCAAGAGCAATAAATACAGCTATGGCCCAAAGGGTAAGGGATACATTCTTTCCAGGAATCTTCTCCGAGTTGCGGAGGTCTGGATGGACGAATATAAAGAAATTGTTTACGCGACATCTAGAGACCTCAATGGCCAGTTACCCGTGTTCACTAAAGCGGAAATGGCGTCCATCGAGGAACGACGTCAACTGAGGCGTGACCTTAAGTGTAAAGACTTCAGTTGGTTTCTGAAACACATTATGCCAGAGATAAAGATTCCAACGCGGGATGCTCGCTTCTTTGGGGAGGTGGCAAATCATCAGACGCGAGGATGCTTCTATGTCATGGACGATGGATACATTGGAGTAACGCCGTTGTGCTTTAGGTTTAGGATTCTTCCAGAGAACACGTTTACTATAGATGTAATGGGTCGGATGCTGTATGAAGGATCATGTGTTGGATATGATGAAAGTTCAAAGGTGTTGAAACTGATGGAGTGTCCTTGTATTTCTCAAGGCGTGTCTTGGCCGAAATGGGAGGTCAACTCTGACAGTCAGCTGACCTACACTGATGCCAGCGGGACGTTGTGCGCCACACACGTGACTTCTGCGACGCACGTGCACAAGACAGAACAGGTGGTTCAGTTGATCAATTGTAAAACAGATAATCAATTTCAAAAGTGGCATTTTATGTATCATTTTGTGTACTGAACATATATGGCAATAAGTAAATCCACTAATCATCAAATTTGTGTTAGTTGTTTAATACAATGTTTCTATTGCAACGTCGGTACCGTTGCAGTGATCCAGTAGTTTGTCAATAGGCAACTTTAGCCTCTGAAATGGCCAGAAAGGGATATCATCTGTTTCCTTAATATATGTCGTATGCCAAACTCTTTCCTTGGATTTCTATTTCTAACCATTAACGCAACGGTTACGAAAGTTGATACGAATTCCAGCACGTCTCATTTAGTAATAGATCGCTCTATATATTACTCAGGGTATACGTCGAAGCTCGATGTCAACTCTCCTTTCACTTCCCCCAAACACCACCAAGCCCCTCTATTTTTTGCGAATGTTATTCCCCCCCCCCCTCCCCACCAAAAAAAACCCCCAACAACCCAACAAAACGAAAAGGCTTGAACTCGTATACCACTCGTATACACTACGTTTGGTGTAAATCGACTTTATTCAGTAAAAGATTACTGTTTATAAAACTCTGGGTATACCTCGACTCAGAAATGAAACACCCTTTTCGAACGTATCTAGTAGCATACGTGCATGCAAGTCCCTATGTAAAAGCAGTAATCTTGAATGTACTGGTATACCAAATTGCACCGCAATTCACCTAAAAACAATCTTTCACATTTTCGAGATCCTGGCAGATGAGTTGTACAGGTAAGGTGGGTCAACACCACTTCGCACACTATTCCAGAATACAGCTTAGTCCTGTGGAGGCTGGATTAAAATAACGTATGCTTATCATAAATATGCGTTATATGGATCAGGTGGTCAGGTCATAACAGGCGACTCAGTAGATCAGGTGCTCAGGTCATAACAGGCGGCTCAGTAGATCAGGTGCTCAGGTCATAACATGCGCTATATGCATCAGGTGGTCAGGTCATAACAGGCGACTCAGTAGATCGGGTGGTCAGGTCATAACAGACGACTCAGTAGATCAGGTGCTCAGGTCATAACAGGCGGCTTAGTAGATCAGGTGCTCAGGTCATAACAAACGACTCACTAGATCAGGTGCTCAGGTCATAACAGACGACTCAGTAGATCAGGTGCTTAGGTCATAACAGACGACTCAGTAGATCAGGTGCTCAGGTCATAACATGCGCTATATGCATTAGGTGGTCAGGTCATAACATGCGCTATATGCATCAGGTGGTCAGGTCATAACAGGCGACTCATTGGAACAGGTGGTCAGGTCATAACAGGCGACTCAGTAGATCAGGTGCTCAGGTCAAAACAGACGACTTAGTAGATCGGGTGCTCAGGTCATAACAGACGACTCACTAGATCAGGTGCTCAGGTCATAACAGGCGGCTTAGTAGATCAGGTGCTCAGGTCATAACAAACGACTCACTAGATCAGGTGCTCAGGTCATAACAGACGACTCAGTAGATCAGGTGCTTAGGTCATAACAGACGACTCAGTAGATCAGGTGCTCAGGTCATAACATGCGCCATATGCATCAGGTGGTCAGGTCATAACAGGCGACTCAGTAGATCGGGTGGTCAGGTCATAAGAGGCGACTCAGTAGATCAGGTGCTTAGGTCATAACAAACGACTTAGTAGATCGGGTGCTCAGATCATAAGAGGCGACTCAGTAGATCAGGTGGTCAGGTCATAAGAGACGACTCAGTAGATCGGGTGGTCAGGTCATAACAGACGACTCAGTAGATCGGGTGGTCAGGTCATAACAGACGACTCAGTAGATCAGGTGGTCAGGTCATAACAGGCGACTCAGTACATCGGGTGCTCAGGTCATAACAGACTGTTCAGTAGATCGGGTGGTCAGGTCATAAGAGACGACTCAGTAGATCGGGTGGTCAGGTCATAACAGACGACTCAGTAGATCAGGTGCTCAGGTCATAACAGGCGACTCAGTACATCGGGTGCTCAGGTCATAACAGACTGTTCAGTAGATCGGGTGGTCAGGTCATAACAGACGACTCAGTAGATCAGGTGCTCAGGTCATAACAGACTGTTCAGTAGATCGGGTGGTCAGGTCATAACATGCGCTATATGGATCAGATGGTCAGGCCATAACAGACGACTCAGTGGATCGGGTAGTCAGGTCATAACAGGTGACTAAATGGGTCGGGTGATGAGGTCAGAATATCAGTCATTGGTTTTTCAACATATACTCACACGCGAAAGAAACGCAAGTGGTTTTAAGCAGATGAAGTGAAGCCTGATGGTGTTATCAATATTTTTGGTTGCATTTTGGAAGCCCCGAGTAAAAACGCAACATAAAAAACGAATCGCCAAAACGCACGATTTCAATGAATATGTGGGTATCATGCACCCATTTCTCGCGAAATCGAAAAAAACCGAACTGTCACGAACTGGTAGAAGTGGGTATAAAACTGTGGCCGATTCTTGGACCTTACACTCCTTGGTCAAAAATGCCACGCCTAATATAACTCAAATTCAGAGAAACCAGGCTATCGGACGTTTGGAAGCTGGAGAGTCTGTCCAAGATGTTGCCCGTCATTTCAACGTTAACATAACCACAATTTACCGTCTCTTGCATCGATATAATGCTACACAGACCACAGATGACCTTCCTCGGAGCGGTCGTCCTAGGGTCACCACACCTCGACAAGATCGGCAGATTACCCGTCAACACCAGCGACATCAGTTCCTAACTGCAAGTGAAAGAGCTCAACAGACCATAGGAACACATAATCGACACATTAGCCGGGACACTGTGATCCGACGTCTCCGTTCCAACAATCTCAGATGTCGCCGACCAGCACATCGTCCTGTTCTCCAACCACGGCATCGACAAGCACGACTTCAGTGGGCACAGGATCATCACAATTGGCGTCATCGTACGCGTGAGTGGAGGCGTGTCATCTTCTCTGATGAAAGTCGCTTTTGTGTCTCCCATGCAGACGGAAGTGTCAGAATTTGGCGGCGTCGAGGTGATCGTTTCTCTGACAGAAACGTTGTGGAAAGGGATCCATGGGTCGGACCTAGCGTCATGATATGGGCAGGGATTGGACTTTATGCGAGACTTGGACCCATGTGCTTTCTGACTGTTGGTCAAGGTCGGGGACACGGCGTCACTGCTCAGCGGTATATCGACCAAGTGATCAGACCCCACGTTGTTCCATTTTTTGCACAACACCAGAACACATTTTCCAGCAGGACAACGCTCGTCCCCATGTTGTCAGAGCTACCATGGTCCTTTCTGCAACAACACAACATCCGTGTTCTACCGTGGCCAGCCCTCAGCCCTGATCTGAACCCCATCGAACACTCAGCACCATACCCGTGCTCGTGGGTTTCAGCGAATTGGTAAACGTCTGAGACCTGCATCACTTCGGGCTTTCCTCCCACATTAAGCTGACACGCCGCGATATAACTGGAATATTGTTAAAAGCGGCGTTAAACCCAACTCACTCACTCACTCACTAATCAAGGTGCTCACGTGAGTTGATGCATTTCGCGAAGTGAGACCCGTTTTCTTACAATATGGATTTTGATTATCGATCAAATCGTCTTGACTAGGCCCTTCGTTTTGTTTAAAGCAAATGTAAGTGATATGAGAGGTGGAGTCTCATTGGTGAATAGGAGGGACATACAAGAGACGTATCTCGTAATAACCATTAGTGACGCTACGATCGAGTCCAAAGATTCCAGCCTTGTTCGGCAAGGGTGGAAACTAGACTTTAAAGTCAGTTTACTTCCTTGTCTCGGGAAGATGATTATCACTGTAGTCGGCCGCTCGATTCTCATTGTTTTCGACATTTATTTCAAGCATGGGTTACCGGGGATACTTTACGCCCCGGCCCCGTGAAGATCCGGGTCAGTTTAGGTCTTCAGCAACCCACGATTGTCGTAAGAGGTGACTGTGCTTGTCGTAAGAGGCGACTTACGGGATCGGGTGGTCAGGCTCGCTGACATGGTTGATGCATGTCATCGTATCCCAATTGTGTAGATCGATGCTCATGATGTCAATCATGGGATTGTCTGGTCCAGACTCGTTTATTTACAGACCACCGTCATATAGCTGGAATATTGCTGCGTGCGGCGTTAAACAACAAATAAACAAATAAACAAGCGTACGCTCGGAAATTCTAATTGGCAGCAGAAGTAACTTAAATAGTGTTTTGACGGCCACATTGGCTACTGACAGATGCAAACGGATGAGGGCAGGATGAGGGGTTAAGTTTAAGTTCAAGTTTTGGATTAGCAAGCAGGAGGATCTGATTCTATTCCCCACATGGAAAATATGGGAAGACCATTTTAGTGTCCCACGCCGTTATTTTGTAGAATTAATGCCAAAGGGGCATTGTTGAAAAACAAAACATTTGTCCTCATTTGTCTTTCTTCGCGGAATATGTCTCGGGTCGCCCGTAGAAAAATGGCAAAAGAACTCACACATTTTCTCACTCATTCAAGTATAGCTGCTCCCTACGATACCTCTCAGTGAGTCATTAACACCTTGCGACTGCACAGCCCATTCACTACCGCCCCATTTAGCCTGAAAACCACAGACACGAACCGTGCTCTGATAATTTCTAGTTTGGGTGAGTCACCCACACAGGAGTTACCTCCCTTAGACCGACATGTCCTCGTTCGCTCAGCACCTCTGAAATCCACACACACACAACACACGCATACACGCATACACGCACACACACACACACACACACACACACACACACACACACACACACACACACACACACACACACACACGATACAGCTTACTCAAAAGATGGAGAATAAGTCGGCTCAAATGAGGGCACATAGTGACATGCAGTTGATATAAAAGGGTTGGGTATTGGTTAAATAGTATGGTTGTGTGGGTCGTAGGGGTGATATTTGGGTCTCTAGACTGAATTTAACCCCCCATATTTTGTGTAACATTTTTTTCATGCCCTCACCACTCCCCCATACATAAATAATCAGTCCCTCGCTACAAGAATGTCGGTCAGACACAATACATTTATATTAAGATCAATGGTACTCAGGCACGAGTGCAG